TATTGCATTTAACAGGTTATCACTCAAAAATGCTCCTATTTCTCTAAGAGTTTTATTCTGCATACAAAGGAAGAAAAAATATAAAAGTATCTTTTAAATTTATTTTTTTTCTAAGGAAGACAAGATATAAAGGTATTTGTTGTAATTTTTCACCCAGCTGAGGACGAACTAAATTTTCAATACCTTTTAACACAGAAATGAAGCTGACACTGAAATAACCATGGTTATACAGATACAGTCTTGAATAAACTGGTTAGTGTAAAAATTCCTAAGAAAGGAAAATTAAAAAACCAATGATTTGCTATGAGATGACAGCTCCAAAAATCTGAGATGCGAGTGTTTGAAATCACCGTTTTGAAAGGCAATATTATGTTTCAATTAAAGACAAAAGCTTGGTTTAGCTGATCTAGGCTTAAACATTATTGGCAATATACCAAACAGCTTAGTTTTCGACGAAGCAGGATATTATGAAGCTGCAGCTTTTCGACTTCTTTCTGAAGAAAAATCCTCTCATTCTTCAGCTTCCGAGAACTTTCTTTCTCCACGCTCAAAGCCAGAGCTAATGCTTTATTATTTTGTTTTAAAGATACTTTCAACACTGATGAATTATCTATAGGAGACAAAATCATACCGTTTTATTTTCAATAGCTCCAATTCCAGGCCCTCTCTATATGCAGTCTCACTACATAATAATACTTTTTATCTATATTTTTTTGGCAGAACAGTAGCCTGACATAAAACTGTTCCTTGTTGGCTGCCGTTCTGAAGTCTTCTATTAGCTTTGAGTCTCATGCAAGGATTCTGCTCGTCTGGATTTTATTATTTTTTTTAAACAAAGGTATTTCAAGAATTTTAAATATATCATTTTAAAGTGTATGGTTTTGTAGGCATAACAATGGTTCCTGCCTTTTAACAAAGAAAAAATAAAATACGTTTCACAAATAGAAAGTTTAAACATTTTGTGCAAGAATGTACATTTCAGCAAATGAAAGAAGTTTAGAAATATATCGTCAACTGTTGTAATGAAAACTTGCCTACTCACATCTGCTACCAAACCTTTTAACTACTATTCCCCTTTTTCCTCAGTGATGGAGTATTACGGAGATAAACATTTTGCCTCATATTCATAGTGCACACAGAGCTAGCTTTAACTCAGATGAGCCTGGCCATGCTCTTCTGCAAAACCAGAAGGAGCAAGATCAGCATGAAGTGCTATTGCTGTATTTATTCATTGTCCTAAGCTATTACTTCTGTGACCTGTCATCCAGAAATCAGGAGGGCTTCTTTTCTTTGCTTAGGGAAACATGCAACAACAGCGGCACCTTATGAATCCAAACATTATGCTTTTAAATTACTATTTGGCTTTGTGAATTATTTGCATTATTTTGGAACATGGGGATCCCTAAGGGACATGGATATTACTCATCAACATTACTGACTTACTTTTCACTGAAATTAATATTCTTGGCATAAATCACATTAAAAGCCTTGCTGCATCATTCACAGAAAGAGAAGTAGAAATCAAGATTTAGTTAGCTGGGCTGCTTGAATCAGAGATCTCTGAAATAGTGTTTTGCTATATTTGCACTTTCCCTATCTTCTGCAGAAGATTTGAAATTGCTGTGGACTTAAATATCTAGCATTAATAATAATAATAATAATAAGTGTTTTAACATAACCGTGGCTGACTGGGAAAGCAAAGTATGTTCTGACAAATGCTTAAATCAGCCTGTTAACATCTGCAGGATTCTTTGATTCTCTACGTGTCTCAATGAAGAATTTGTTATGAATGCCACTTTGCAACTGGGAATTGAACATGTAATGCTATAACAACTGTATCATAAACTGCTACTGATTTAACTCATTTTGGTACCTCAGGTTTTAGATGCTCAAGATAAAGCATGGATGTTAGAGATGTATTTGAGCATGTTTTTCAAAAACACTAGCACACCAAAGAGAAAGCACTGGAACTATGTAGACAATTAGATTAATAATCAAATTAGAACCACGTGTTTTAACTTTCAGTCTCTCCGAATGTACTGAATACACCACATTTTTTAACAGCAACCATTCAGCAAATCACATTAGATACAACTGTTCTTCACTTTGAAGTCATACATTCTAAGCAGCATTCTAAGTTCTAAAGCAGCATTCTAAGTTCTAAAGCAGCATTCTAAGTTCTAAAGCAGCATTCTAAGTTCTAAAGCAGCATTCTAAGTTCTAAAGCAGCATTCTAAGCTCTAAGCACAGTAAAAGGCTTCATGGGACTTACTTATTAATTTAGATTTGATTTTAGATGCCAAAGAAGCGTTCAGTTTTGCAGTTTGTAACGCTCTGTCCCTCTTCCTGTGTCCTCTGACAGCACCCGAAGAAAAAGCAGTGGATAATTTAGCAGTTGCTTGTTTATCCATCACCAAAAAGAACCTTGTCAGGTGGAATGCACACTGGCAAGAGGAATCTGCAAATGACACATGATTTCGCTCACAAATTTTGAGCTTAGGCCGCATTATCTCTTCATGAGGAGATTATCTAAGATTTAGGTCACATTATCATATTTTACTAACAAATATGAAGACTACATGGATGAGAGATTTTACCTTCATACATTCCATCAAGTTACCTCTTCAGATTTACCCTTAAAAGTGAAGGGGGCAGGGGAGAGATGAAAAAAGCAAAAGTTTACATCACTTGACAGTGCAACCGAATCAGCTTCGTCAGGCCAAATTTTAAAAGTAAGTTTTTAAAATAAAGCTCGTTACGGGTGTTAAGTACCGAAGCACACAGCAAGAAAGACCAGGCTGCAAAGTCCGTCGGAGCAGTGAACGATGCTCCGCAAGCGGCTCCGAGGAGGCGCGTCCCGCCGCGCCGCCCTGCCCTCAGCCGCTCTCGTCCTCGCCGCCGGGGGGCAGCGCTCCCGCCTCGCGTCAGGGGCGGCCAACGGCTGCGCGAGCCCAACGGCCGCCGGCGGGTAACCCTCGCGCCCGCCCTCGAGCCCGCGGGCTGAGGCAGTCAGTTCAGGAAAGCAGACTGCCTCCGCGATCTGACTGTGCGCGAATGGAGCACATTTGCAGCACAAACGGCCCTGCCGGGGTGGTTCCCGCCCATCACAGCTTTTTGTTTTGAAGCAAAGAATTACATTAGATCTTGAAATGCCAGCCTTTACATTACAGAGTAGCGTTTCATACAAGAGAGGCCTTTATGTATAGGTTTTTGTTTTTTTTTTTTGGTGAAATAGTCCCTTTAAAAGGAGTTGCAATAGAAGAAGCAACAACCCAAGTATCAAGGCAGTTATCAAAGTGACATCAACAAATTTGCAAACGAAAGATGACACTGAGTGTGCACACTCCTTGCACGTATAGGAGGCTCCTGTGTTACAACTGGAGCAAGGCTCATCTCATTCATTTCAGGCAGTTAGGTTTGGCAGATGGAAGGAAGTACTTGAGCCCAACAAGATGTTTTCCTCCAAAGTCTGCTCTGATCCCAAAGGCACAGCCCACACGCTTTAATATTCCCTCACATGCATTCTCTTCCCCCACGTGAGCCTAGTTCAGCCCTCAGTTCAGGCAGACACACTGATTGCTGCAGTTGGCCTAAGCATTAATACACACATAGTAAACAGTTTTGGGGGAAAAGGAGAAAAGGGGGGAAAAAATTACTGTTTTCATTTACTTGAAAGTTTACAGAGACATGGAAAGGTGAAACTGTAATAACAATAATAAACCATGCATTTTTTTCCCCTCATTTCCAAATGAGATTTGGCACAGTTTCTCAGCGTGGTCCTGAAGCTGCATAACTTCATGCTTCTATACAATCCTTTTAAAACACAGACTTGACCCAGCGCACCTTACATACCTGTGGTATGTTTCCCCTCACAAAGCAGCTTCGAGTAACTGCAGCCACTGTAAATTCTGAGAAAATAACAGAATAACATCATGCAACTGTAACAACAGAAAGTCAGGCAAGTTGCTGTGACTCACCTCCCTCTGCTCTCAAGCAGGCAGCATTTTCACCCAGCTCCAGTCATGAGATTTCATTTCCTTCGCTTTTACAGCAGTCCCATCTCCTGAGGGAGCAATCCCCAATCTGCCTCCAGCTAACGTTTATGTCACAACTGCTGATAATAAGCAAAATAAGTGTTGTGTTAGCACCTGGGTGCTACTTTCCTTTGCATTCAGCTGAGGAACTTTTCACACGTGAACAATCCTCAGTTAGCTACCAGCTGCTTAAAGGGGGGAAGAGCCTTAAAGGCTGGGAGGCTTTACACTTTGCATGCACTAAATAGAGAAGGAGTCTGGTTTGCAATCACTTGAGATCCCATTATCAGCCTTTAAACTGAGTAGAGATGAGAGGGAAAGAGAGGGAAAGACGGACCTGTTATAACAGCTCTCAAAGCTTAAAAATGATATGGGTGTGTTCCTGCATGTGCAGTGGGAAGCTAACTGCATTCTTAATGGGCTTCGGGTCCCAATTAGAAGAATCGTTAATGTTCTAGGTTTTATCTCTTTTCTACACATACAGGCAGCTCGAGTACTTTCCAGAAAGTTTGTGGAAACCAGCAGTTTGGCACTACAACATTTTGTACAATTATTAATTTGGCATTTACAAATATCAGGCTCTTATCATGAGAACCTGACGCTGTTTGTCTGTTCATGCAGAATTTCGGTCAGCAAGCAACTGCACCGCAGCCATGAACCACTTTGAGCAGGGCACTCTCTGTAAGCTGTTGTGCATGAGAGTGCACGGGAAGCACCTAGCAGTCTGCACTTGTCCAGGATGTTTGAAATATATTAAAGCGTTAACAACGTGCTCTAAGATTAAAAAAGAAAAAGAAAAAGAAAAAGAAAAAATGTTTCTGCCTTACAGAGCAGCCGAGTTTACGCATGCACGCCTCCCTTCGGAGGCCGAAGGCACCGAAGCCGCGCCCGGCGGGCCGCCTGCTGCCCGCAGGCTCGGGTCGGGGCTGCCGGCGGTGCCCCCGGTCGGGAGATGCCGCGGTGGCTCCGCTCGCACGCCCCCGGCCCGGCCCTTCCTGCCGCCATTTTGCGGAGCCGAGGAGGCCCGGAGGCGCCCGGCCCGCTCCGGCCGCGGGGAGGCGGCGGCGCAGGTAACGCGCGATGGCGGCCGCCCCGCGCGCGGCTGGAAGGCGCAGTCCCGGCGTGTGCGCGCCCGCGGCTGCGGAGGGCTGGGTGGGCTGTGCCTCTCCCGCGGAGCGGCTCCGGCGCAGGAGGGAGCGCTCGGGCCTGCGCGGGGCGGCTCTCCGAGAGTTCCTAGGATGCGTTTTGTTGCTGTCCGTCTAGCGCGTCTTTCACACGTACTAACCACAAATCTGCCCCCCCGTATGCCTCAAAAGAGTAACTGCGTGTTTTCCGGCAAAATAAATGTCATCGTTGTTTATAGTGAAGGTGTAAGCATCATTTCGAATTTTGTGATTCTGATTACAGTACTATGCAACAGGCGTGTTAGCTGAGCTAATGCTTGGATCTCTGTGCAATATTTCGGCCTCAGCATTAGGCTGACACTTCTTTGTATCTGTTACAGTGTGGAATAGCTCGTAATTAACATCTCATTTGCAAATGCGATGGAAGAGGACAAGGCTGCAGAGGAGCAGGGCATCCTACGGCTGAACGTGCGAGGATGTCTGTACACCGCCAGGCGCCAGTCCCTGTGCCGCTTTAAGGACTCCATGCTAGCTTCTATGTTTAGTGGACGTTTTCCTCTAAAAATGGATGAGTCTGGTAAATATGTTAAAGCTGCACCTAAAACATTCCGCCTAGGGAGCTCTGTGGTAAATACATGCTTTTACGTATCCACTTTATTGCGTCTCCTTTCTTCCAACTTGCTGAGCTTCTTGAATACATGAATTATGCGTGCATGACTTATGAGTACTTCATCAGAATTCCACAGGACGTTTCTGTTTGCAAACATACATGTTTGTACAGCACGTAGCCCTGCTTTGCTACAACCAAAATTGTCGAATACACTACTACAGTATGAGTGTTAACTTGGGTCCTATTTATGCCTTCCTATATTCTCCCAAGGCATCCGACTCCATCTGTTCATTATGTAGGGAGATTGAGGTTTTATCTTTGTTTCAGAATGCCTGAGTACCCATTAAAGATTGCAATTTTGACCAGCATGGTTTGATATGAAAACTTGAATAAAACTTTTCATGAGTCAGATTTCACCCCTGTTTGTGACTTGGAAGTGACTGCCAAAGTATGCCCAGTTCTAAAACTATGCTGGATGGACAGTAGTGACTTCTTGTTGCCCACTTCCGGAAGTTTAAAATATCTGAAATGCTTGAAACTTTTTACAAGCAGGGTTTTACTATCATCCTTCAGCTGCAGTGAATAGCATATTATATACAGCAGTGTACAGCTTGAGTGGCTATTTTGTGTGGCCATTGAGCCCAGCATCAAAAGAGAGAAAGAAACAAACAGAATTGTAAAACTTAAGCAAGATCCAGATTAGTTGAGGCTGGATACATACAAAAGCTGGTGCTACTTTTTACACCTAGATCCAAAATTGAAAAAAAAATCTCTCCAATAGCAATAAATAAATAAAAAAAAAAATTCTAGAAATGCTCCTAGAATAAGATTTTAGCATTTAAGCACTTAGCTGAGATTTATACTGGCATGGTCCTGTGCACATCAGTGATATCACTGACATTCCAAACAAGCAAAAAATTCTTCACTATGAGTTTTATCTTCAAATATCTATTATTCCATGGAAACAAAGTAGCAGTTTTAAAATAACAGAAAAAATATACTTAGTTACTTCTCCTACGTATGTAAAGAGAGTAAGTTTCATACAAAAGCTTTACTTGATGATTTGGTATAATTGAGAAATCTTAGAAGCAGCATCTTAAGTTCATTATGTGTATGTTTTCAGGAGCCTGTCTGATTGATCGAGATGGAAGCTTGTTTAAATATCTTTTGGATTATCTTCATGGAGAAGTTCGGATTCCTGAGGATAAACAGATTCAAATTGCATTGCAGGAGGAAGCAGATTATTTTGGCATCCCTTATCCATACAGTCTGTCTGACCATTTGGCCAATGAAATGGAGACATATTCTTTAAGGTCAAATGTAGAGCTTAAGAAGGTCAGTATATTTCTTATATTTTAAAAGATGCACTCTTCTAAAGATGTATCACACCATTTGTTAGCAGCAGATACTAAAACTATGCCTGTACAAGTTAGCACTTTTTTTTTTTTTTTTTTTACCTCTCCAAATAATTCTGAGATTTAGGATAAGAAATTCTAGAACTGATAACACAGTCATAGCCATCAAGTACTCAACTTTTCCACCACTACATTACAGAAGCAGTTTAAAGTTGACTCTTATGTGCAAGTCTTCTTTGAAAACTTGTGTAGTAGGAAAGACATTGTGTAGTTCTCTGTAGTTCTTTAGTTTCTCCCTTATTCTTCTTTTGAAAAGCATAAAGCAGTTCCAGACTTTTGAGGTTTTTTTTAAAAAGGGCCATCTTCAAGTATTCCTGTTGCCTGTCTGTGCATTTCTCCTACTTGGAGGACATTCTCTGCTATCATCCGATAAGATATAGTGCTCACAATAGTCTAGATAAACTACATCCTTGATATACTTAAAAGAGGTCACCAGTACAGTTAAGAAAATTTCAGAATGAAAGCTTATAACACTGAACTTAATTAGTATTAATATTTTTGCATCTTTGTTTTATTTTTTTTTTCCAGGCTTTGTTGGATTTCTGTGATTCTTATAATTTAATCTGCACCAAGCCTACAGTTTGGGTCCTGCACTATCTTGGCACTTCTGGGGCAAGCTGTGAGAGTAAAATTATTGGTGTGTATGCCACAAGGGCTGATGGGACTGATGCAATTAAAAAGGAGCTAGGAACAAAAATTCACAGTAAAAGCATCTACAAAAGGTAAGCTGACTTTCAAACTCATGAAAACACTATCGGAAGACTATGAAGACTTCCATATCATAATAATACCTAAATATTATTTTATTTGGCTAATATAGCATTATTACACTATAAATCACTGGCAGGAATGAGATTATTCCCTGCTTTGAAAACACCCAGCTAATATAATATTCAGATTTAACAAAATAAAGACTAAGCACAACGGAAAAGAATTCAAGAGATCTACAGAAGGTCACTGGCATGCAATTGCTCTAAGATCTCAGTTGCTATTTTTAAAATATCTCAACCATTTACAATTATATTATAATTTAGGATGATGATTACATCAAGTGTTATCAGTGATATTTACACCAAGAATCATCACTGAATCCTGAAAATGTCCCCCCAAATATTCACAAAGCTGGCAGTGATTTAAGGGGTTCTATTTTGTAGTCTGCTATGACAGCAGTTAAAAATATTAAACGCAGCCTTTCTGAAGATGAAATTGTTAAATTCTTTAAAGGATGTGTACATTTCAACAAATATGAATGCATTTTACAGTAGAAATTTTAAGATATTAGTAGACCTGTAGTACTTCCAAGTGCCTGGAAGCTGTTTGTCTTTCCCTTGTACAGAATCAGAAGTGTAATTCACTGTATACCTTCTGAATAATTATTTAGAGCTTTTGATATTGCATCATGTTTATAATTAAGATACATATTCTCCTAAATTTAGGCTGGGAAAATGAATATCTACTCTGAGATGTTTTGGATACATAGTAATTCAGGTATTTGTCCTACTGTGTTTTCCCTTTGAAAATATGTAGTTAGAAGAATAAATTTTACACCATTAGTTCTGTAATTATGTTTTTCATGGACATCTGTTCTTTCCTGAATACCTTTTCCAGCAACAGGCATTCACAGGTGTGCAGACAGTAGGGAGTGGCAATTTGGATCTCTGATAGAAATGACAATGAAATCTAAGTAACTTTTTTTTACCCACTTTAAAAAACATTCACTACTAGGTCCTTTCATAGTTGGAATTTGGTAGAAGAATAATAGCTGTAACACTACTTCATCAGTGTTAAATTTTTGAGATCCTAGGTAGATCTACCATGTAACTTGTAACAACTTGTAACTTGTAACAAGGTAACATGTTTACCTTGCAAACAATGTTTCTAGAGAAGCTGGAAACAATGTCCAATACATCTGGAGCTATTACTCTGAAGCTGAACTGAAAAAGATGATGGATGCTTTCGGCACCTGGGAAGGAAGAGGTACAGTATTAATTCTTTGCTTCTATTTTAGTATTTTTCTACAGAAAAAAAAAAAAAAAAAAAATTGCCAAATAATTATACAATAATAAAATCCGTGGATGTTTCCACTAATTCAGTATGTGACACATACAAACTCCAATAGAGCAGTTATTTGAAGGGAAAACACAAAAAGTCTTGATTGATGTTCTAATGAGCAGATGTGAGCTAACATACATGAATAGACGTAGTGAGAATCATTGCATGCAAGAGATGATGGAGACCCTGAGCACTCTGGTGGAAACCCTAAAGGCATGCTGGCTGTAAGCACAGGTTACTTGTCAGCATAGTTTCAAAGCTGAAATTCTGCACAATAAAATAAATGCATTCATTTAATCTGGGGGAGGTACACACAATATTGTGTTCTCTCAGCTCAGTGATACAATCAGTGATGCAATGTCTCGTTGAAATGAAGGTGTCAGCTACTGGAGAGTGCCGCAGGAGCTCATCGAATGCTGGACTCTTGAAGAGCGTTCTCTGAAAGGCAGTTTGCATCATATGCCTCCAGTTCATAAAAGGTATGTTGACCTGCATAGGTGGCTTAGCATGAAATGGAAAACAGCACAAACATTTTGTGTGTGTGTGTGTGTATGTGTAGTTTCAGGTTCTTTGAATAGTTTTCTTAGTTGTTCCTCTTAACATTTTCATGTAATATATTCACTGAGAGCTCATAAGCAGAACTGACCTTGCTATAAGGAAATTACCTTTTCTAGGTTGCTGAAATTCTATTCTACAGCCTTTACAGCATCATGTGAGGGTGGAAATGAGTCATTTCAAAAAGTAGAGAACAGCATTAGCTAAATGGACTAGCTAATTGAAAATTTGAAAAGATTAGGTGATTTTCATGTTTCTAAAAAGCTCTACTTTTACACTAGAATATTTTCTTTCCAATTCTGTGGTCATACTTCTGACAACACTTCCATTTGCAATACATTACCTAAAAGCAGCATTCGCAGATGCATCTACAGTTACCTGAGCCACTCAACAGCATCTTCCTGCTATCTAAGGAGGAGGATCCTGCTTACCTTGTCTCTCTGGCCATGCTGTCATTTCAGCAGCAGCCACAGAGCCATGACAGCACAGTGATCCAACTGAAAATCCCCATCTCCCCATCATTTTGGGATACTGTATTCTTTGCTTTTCATAGCTCATTAAGGAAGAAGCATGACTACTGGACTGACTGCCAAACGCATATATTCCTGAATGCTCCACTGCAACCTTTGCCTTTTTATCTCCCATTTCTCTGCTTTGTCTTCTCTATTTTTTCTGTACCCAAAGAGCTGTATTAATTACCTGCAGTAATCCTTGTGAGAGCATATACCATCTTGAAATATTATTGTAAATTAATCTAGTTACTGATTACATTTTACCTGTACTACACTGTAGCTGTTAAAACACCCAGTCTCTGAATGCTTAAATTTTCCTTTTTGTTCTAATGGTTCTTTTGGTCTAGGATGTACAGATTTCAAGAATACATTCTTACCTTAGAGCTCTGAGGAAAACCTTCCTAGATTCATTATGAGCACTCGGTTATTTGCAGGCTTTCTGCTTGAAGCGTCACCATCTACCACTTTTCTAAGAGTAACAATAAGAAATATTACACTTTTACATTTTTTCTCTCTTGATATGGATTCCTGTGGCATTTAATCTTTTGAAATCCAAAATGCAAGCATCCTGAAGAATGTCAGTGCTTTAGTAGTGTCCCTCACTCTGTTCTTTAATGGTTCTCTGAGTTACTTAAGAATTACTCTCTACTTTAGACAGTTAGAGTTGCCATGAGATTCTACAGGCTTTCTTACACAGATTTTTTATTTTTTTATTTTTGGCAAAACAGGTTATCTTTAATTACTTAGAAAGGGAGGGGGAAGGGAGAAAGGGATATTCTTCTTTTCTCAAATTACATAATGTAGAACTATAAGTATTTTGTTTCTGTGCAATTGGGTCTTGACACTTTGGTAGATAACTCAAAACATATCTGATTAACTTTTACTGAATTTTCTATTTGGTGAAAACTGTAGTACTTCAATATTTTCTTTCTGTAACTCCTCCTGCCTTTTTCCTCATTTTCAAACAGCAGTTTGTGCACCATTTCTTACCAATTTTAGCATGTAACATGACTTACAGAGGTAGAAGAGATTGCTGCATTATTGATGCAAAGGCAAGCCTGACTGCTGTGATCAACAGTTGAGAACAATATGTGATAACCAGCAAAAATTAATAGAACAGTAGATTTGTGCATTGCTGATTTTGTAACTATAAAAAAAAAAACTCAAATACATAGTTTGTTTCTTCAATTAAGATCCTTTGTTTTACAGACGCCTAATTGATTTCTCTGAAGTGGAAGACTACATACCATGCAAAGTGGGCCCCAAGCCAATTAGATTCTCAGGTCCTTCAACAAGTACACATATCAAAGTCAAGAATTCAGCTTCATTAAAGGTAGCTGCTTGCAACACTTCACATTCTGCAGTAACTCTTAAACGACCGAATAGTGAAAGTTTGATACTGCACAAAGCAGCTTCTGTGTCCAAAGCATGCAAGCCAGAGCCCAGCAATTCCCAGGTGCCCCATGGAAAGCAGAGTGCTGATGATGAAGCATCATGTCAAATGACTTTCAACACCTCAGCGCCTAGAAAACCCATACGCAGCCGTGCAGTAAAGCTGAAGCGAACTCCACTGTTTCTCATGACACCTTCTCAGTCATCATCTGTGTCCAGTAAAACAAGTGAACAGGACAAAGCTGCTGCTGAAATTCCTACTACTTCAACAGTACTAAACAAGAAAGAACCAGCTGCGTTAGCAGAGAGCAACAAGCTTAAGAGTAATAAAGTGGATGGATAACATTGGACTCAGCCTGATAGGCTGTGTAGCTTGGGAACATCTGGCCTAAGAACAGCTCGTCATCTCATATTGTTAGTTATTCAAGGATTTGGTAGGAAATCATGGTGAAGATAGTGAAGAGTTAGTGAAGAGCAGAGGGAGAAATGAAGTGTATTTTCTGATTTTATTTCTAAGTACTTTTAAGAAGTTGGGAGGAAGAAACATGGCTAAAAAAACCCTAAAACACACAGCATGCTCAATATTATGGTGTCTCATTCATATTTGTGTCAGGCTGTACTACTGGCCTTTTAAAAGGAATACATGCACAGCACAGAAGACTACAGCTTATCAAATTCAGTTACAGTTAATTTCCTTAATCCATATATTTCAAGTAGGGGAAAAATAGTAACAATGAATATCAGTTATTAGATTCAAATTTGTCACAAGTGTGCAATATACAGAGTACTGTAAAGATTTTATTTTAAGCTGAATGCACAAATTCTGGTACTTGCAGTGAGGAGAAGTTACCATTTTATTATTGGTAGCAATTAAAGGGACCATCTTTACATGTAGAAAACTGATAAACAGGAAGGAAGAGCATGACTAGGGAATAAGGCAGTTTTTCCTTAGACCTGAGACATGTACACTAGTTTCCTACTTGTCCTTCTTGTCCTCCCTTGTACTAGGGTGCATTATGAGCAATGATACTGAAGAGCTCCTGTATGCTTCTACTAGCAAAGAAAAGCAGAATTTGGCTCACTTTTTAAGAAGTCCTTTTGGACTTGGTTGGTTGTTTAAACCATTGCTGTTTAATTTCCCCACATTTGGCTTCATTTTGTGCAATTGTTTGTGTATGGCTGGGTACTGCTTTGTTGTTGCTAATAATTTTGCAACACAGTAAATACACCTGGCTTTAGATGTTGCAAAGTCCTATGGCATTGCCAAAATGAAGTATTCTTACAACTTGCTTCTTAAAGTCTTTTGTTTTCTAGGTTATTTAGAAGAAATCACATTTTTAGGCTTTTCGTCGTAACTGCAAGGACTTGAAATTTCATTTGCAAAGTAAAAAAGAGAAACAGCAAAATTTCAGGTACTAACATACTGTTTGAAGAGATGTTTTTTGCCATGAATTATAGTTATGTAAAGCTGAGCAGTAGTGCAATTTTCTGTTATTTACACATATAGTAAAGACCAGCCTATCTTTAAAATTCTTAAACTTCTGTAATAAGCCTAAAAAGCCACAAAAAAGCCAAGACTCTCCCCATCCCACAGAAGAGATTCACTGGAGACCAGAAAAAGCAGAAATTAAGGGAGATACTAAAATGAAACTTATTATTTGAGCGTGCAATTCATTGACACAATGTATACCAGTCTGATTGAAAAGCAGTTTTTAAATAACTACTTTCTGTGTGACTTTTATTTTAGTACTTACTGAACAGCTGAGCCCTTTACTGTATCCATTTAGGTCCTCTTACAATGATTCCTCTTTGACTTTGGGTGCATTTGTAGGCTTCTTTCAACATCATACAAAAGCTCACAAGTCTGGATTCTTGCAGATAAGGCTGACTGATCCCTTTGGACTTCCTAAGCCTGTGCTAGTTCAGGGTTTGTCTAGTCATTCTGGTAGTATTTTTCACATAACATTCATATCATTTGCATTCCAGTGGCTTCAGTCTCATCTTTGTCCTAGACACACTGACTTGTAGTTAAAAAAAAAAAAAATTACAAAATCATTCCCTTTAATTTCAGCATATGAAATTGTGAATGAAAGTGGCTGTGGTGAGGAGGTAGAGCAAGTTTAGAGACTTGATTTTTTTTATTGGATGAGAAACAAACATGGCTTTTTAAATAAGCACTTTTGTCTTTTTATTTTTAATCCCCGTGAAGCTTGTTAACAGTCTGTTGTAATGGATGGACTGATTTTAAACAGCTTTATAAGAGCTGAACCTTCAAGATGACTATTACAGCTTTGTCTATATCCACCCAAAGCCTTTTAAAGTGTAAAATTAAACAGCATTTAATCTTCTGCCTGGGAGGCAGAGAGCTGAAAACTTGCCCATCCAAGGATTAGTCAGCTCCTAACCTGGCTAACAGACTGTTCTTTTGAGGCCTGGAACAAAGAGCAGAAATTCTGCAAGTCTGAGAGTTTCTTGCAGGTTCTACTTTCCTTAAATCTGTATGATCCCAAGTTTCTTCAAAGTCCACAATTTTCTTAATGTGTCACTCATCCAACTCAAAGACTTACCAGCTGGTACAGTCAACTGAAGTGATTATGGCTCGTTTTGCATCTTTGTACAATTGTTATAAAAGAGACCACAGTTAGAAAGCTTCTTTGACCTAGCAATTTAATAGCTGTGCTCTGAAGAGTAATGTGCATCACGCTAGTGAACTTTGATGCTTTTCTCTTTCCCCTCACAAACACAAAGTCAATTTTCCAGTTGTTTAGCCCTCACTTTCACACTATTTCCAAACCATCTATGATATGGCATAATGTAGAAAAATGCAATTCCAAATTAATTTCCAGAAAATTACTTCTCCATGATTAAATGTGTATTATCACCGGGATATGCTTCAAATAGATGTAATTCTATCTGTATGCTTCAGAGTATGGAGAACTCATACTTGCCATAACCAAGCAGACGTTGTTTCACCTGCTAGGGGCACATGTTAACACTGATTCTCAGAGAGACTTTTCATCAGGCTTGTTTTCAGCTTAAGAGCCACGGAAACAACGCAATCAAATGAGCTCTGAACTAGGCATTAATTCAGAGATGCTTCTGTATGAAATATAGCTCAAGTTCCTTGCAAGAAAAAAAAACTGATGATTCTCTCAAGACAGTATTGACTGTAAACACACTGACTGCTCCTAAGGAAGCTACCTCTTTCCTTCTTTCAAGCTGTTCATTCACTTCTTTAAATCCACTTAAATGTTCAGATAATAAACATTATGTAGTACAAGTCTTAGTATGGCCAAACGGAAATGGCAGCATTATCCAGGAGATAAGATGATTTTGTCTGTTTAATTCTCAATCTGTGAAGGACAAATTCTCACTTAGCAACAACAGGAGGCAAGCTGTACCATCGAAAACTTGAGAGTGAAGCTGTCTATTCCATAGCTGCAATTAGAGTGAGAGTGTGGCTAGAAGTAAAGCTCTGTAAATATGTGGAGGAAAAGCCCCCAAGAGATCTAGATTCATTTTGGGCAACAGCTTTTAGCAGAATGTCAAGCAGCAGAAACAGACATAGCTGGTGTTACAGACCTCTGCTCTTCTCTGAGTTTCTGAGTACTTTCTACAGAATACTACTTTTGCAGGAATAAATAAATAAATAAAATCTTCCTGCTTATACAGCATTTATCACTTAGCTGAGTAATACTTTGCAAATTCACTGGACCACACACATCAGTAATTAGACCGTTTTCAAAGTCGTCCCTTTCCTATATGCATCTCTTAGCTCATCCTAATTTCTGGTACAACATCCATAAACATTTCTAGTACAGGTTGTTTAGTTGCTTTTCATACATCCCAGTCACTGCACGGGGAAACAGACTCACCATAGGAAATGCCATCCATCCATCCAAGCTCAGACCACGTTGCTTTCCTACAGCAGCAGGATCCAGGAAAGGAATATACAAACTAGAGTACAAACTTATCCTTTCCAAAATTACTAGTTTCAGTTCTAGAGCAACATTTCCAATGACTTTAAGTAGTTTAAATGATTTTTTTTTCAAACATCTTAAATTTTTTTTAAGTTTTGCTTAATATAGCTTGGCTATATTAAATTATATTATCTTTCTAGTTTTCAGCTATACATCTCTATATATCTGGTCCTTTGTTTTGCTGAGTTCTGACGTTAATCTCAACTTGACTGTACACAAAAGACAAAAAGATTGAACCTGTTTTAAAATACCAGACCTTAGGGTGTGTATTTACTTTCAAAACAGTGGAAATTCCACATTTCAATGATGCAAAAAAAACCTGTACTTGTTTTGCAAATTAGGGGGAACTATTTTTCTCTCAAAAGACTTGCTGGCCTTAAAGCCAAGGCTTGTCCAGCCCTTAATTCTCTCACTGACCCCTGTACAAAATCTGTATGTTGAACGTATCACACGTAGCTAGATCTGTAATTTGAAAATAGAAAGTTCTGATTAATTAAATAATTCTATGTACAGTGAGTAGTAAAACAAGCCAGGAAAATGGCAAATAAAATTCTAGCAGAAACATAAAAAGATAAAGGGATACCATTCTGACACAGCAATGTTTCAGAGCCAGCCATGTAACAGTCACAATGTGTACTGCAATACCAAAGCACATTTGCTGCATCAAGACTGCAGAGTCCCCAGAACCAGCCAAATCCACACTTTTATCTCTCATCCAAGAATGTGTGTTTGCCTCACAGCCTGAGGATAAATGCTTCCTCTCACCTGTTATTTCTGATCTGTCATGTGCTAAGCCTCCAGCACAGCAAAGAGAAGCTGGTACTGAAGAGCACAAGGTCGCCCTTTGTGCCGAGTTATGATTTACGTTAGATTTGACTTGTTTTGAGGAAGCCTGCTTGTAAGGAAGCTGACTTGTAGAATAAAATAACTTCTTCCAATAATCCTGTTAAGTGGAAAAGCTATAAGGCAGGAGTAAAAGTCATTATAGATACATCAGATATTATTAGGAGGAGATACAAGAAAAGGTATAAGTAACTTTCAGAAATTGTGTAAAAGCAATATAATATTGTTCTGGGGCACTACCCATACAGATACTGTGATTACATCTCTAACTGTGAAGTTACAGTATGGCAGTATGGCAAATTTTGAAAATAGACTTTTCTGGTGGGTGTGCACAGCACAGAGATTCTGGAATTTCAGCTCCATTTACTTAAAACGTTCAGCCTAAAAGCCTGATAGGAGAAGGGTCCACAATGCTAAAAAAAAGCCTATGTTTACCTACGAATACTTATTTTATCACCACTATTCCAGAAGAAGATGAGCTACTTGCCTTGTAAAATCAGGTTTTACCATCATTCACATGTA